CTTCTCATTGTTAAAAAATTGAAGTGTGATTTAATGAAGCTAACTTATTATTTTGAATTTGACTTGGTTCAAATCATTTCATAAATTTGGTTCTTAATAGATTCCTTCTTTACCCTTCTCCCTCTTCTTCTTATTTTTTTATGGCAAAGGAAGAAAGAAACTTAACTTGCACATCTAAAGAAGAACCAAAAAGCCCTTGAGTAAAATTGTTAGCTCATCCAAAAAGTTATCAAGTAAAGTTTTTGCTTACCTTCATTTATAGTTTGGATAAATTAGTATGAAACTTGAACTTTTACCATAATTGCATTGTTGAATTATTCCTTTTCTTAATGATAAAGGGAGAGAAATATGGTAAATTGATGATAAATTGAATGTTTGTGACAAATGACAAATATATAAAATGTATCTTATCATAAATGCTTGTATGTTTTACGAATGCTTAAAATATAATTGGAATCATCAAATACATCGCAACACATCGCAAATGCTTGAAACATATCAAAACCTATTTCATATATATTATAGATACTTGAAATGTTTTATGAATGCTTGATAAATATCTTTCATTATGATAAGATATCATGAGCTCAACTTACTATTTACAATCAATATCTTGTCATGTATTGATGAATTATTATCTTTTATCCAGAATTGTCATCTTGCTAAAATTCATATTTGAAATTCGTATCATATTTGAAAATGATGATTATCTATCATCATTAACTTGAAAATAGATGTCATGCCTTGATATCATTTTTTGATAAATACATGGTATTGTATTGATAAATCATGATAAGTATCTGCATATTGATAAGTTTAGATGAATATAACTTATCGGTTTGATGCTTGAATTCAAAGGCCTTGAATTCAAGAGTATCTTTTCTCAAGTAATGACATATAGATAGGGGGAGTTAAGGTTAACTTCGTCATCAATTGATTATCATCATAAAAAAGGGGGAGATTGTTGAATCTCATATTTTGATGATGAAATCAATTGGTAAATTATTTGATCTAATCTATATGTTAAGAAAAGTGTGCAGGATTAACTACGATAGCAGTAAGGCATAAAGTAGATGTTGGGTCGGAGTTAAGATCGAGACTTCGTTGGGAGTTCGAGAGTTCGTCAAAAGTCTAGACATTAGTCGAAAGTTCTGCCAGAATTGACCGAGAAGTCCAGGAGCTTACCAAATAAGCTCGTCAGAACTCGTCAAGAATATCGTCGTAAAGTCCAGGAGCTTGTTGGGAGTACGCTGGAATATTACCGAAAGATCATCGAAAGATCGCCGGAAGAACAATTGACATTACGGATAGAGTCTGCTTGCTTAAATATCTTAAATATCATAGTTAGACCTTAAGTTGAGTTAAGATTGGGAGGTAATCCCACTAACAAGGCTGAATTGAGCCCTTAACAAGGCTGAATTGGGCCAATTGAACAGCCCATTCAGCACTTGAAGTCATAACCGGCGGTGGCACCGCCTAGGACTCGGTCTCCCAAGTGCACTGGGCGGTGGTACCACCTAGACTAGGTGATGGTACCGTCGATAGTTAATGTTATCAGGCGGTGGTACCGCCTTGTCAAGTAATCATACAACTAGAGCTCGATCTCCGAGCTCTATCAAGCGGTGGTACCGCCCAGTGTCAGTCTGCAAGTGGTAGTATCGCCTAATAATGGCAATGGTATCGTAAGTACCCTGAAATCTGGAGATGTGATACTTTTTGGCTCCAATTCTGAAGCCATTGGGGCCTATAAATACCCCACACTTTTCTGCATAAAAGGGCATGAAAGTGTGAACAATATTATGAAATCTTAGGGTATTAAAAGTATTGTAAAAGAGAAAAGAGTCATCCTCCTCCCTTTCTAGAGTTATAATCATTTAAGTGAGGTGTGAGGCTTGTAAAGGTTATCTCCTAAACCCGTGAAAAGGAGAAAGCACTGTAAAAGAGGTGATTAGTCTTCGCCTATTAAAGGAAGACCATTAGTGACACCGGTGACATCGACGGAGGAGGAATCAGAAATAGATGTAGGTCACAATGATCGAACCATTATAAATTCTGGTTTACATTTCTATTATTGTTATTTACTTTGCAATTGCTTCACTTCTATCTTACTTTGGTTTTCACTATCCTTACGAATAAACATGCTTTCAAACAATCTTTCGAGATCGATTTTTTCATCATACGAAGTTTTTAAACCGACGTTTTTATCCACTGTACTAATTCACCCCCCTCCCCCTCTTAGTGCTGACTCGATCCTAACAAAGGTTAACAGGTACAATAATTGCTTTGCTTGTCCTTTGTCTACCATAGGTGCATCAAAATTTGGAATTATCATATTCACGTTAGATAACTTGTTTAGTAATACATCAAAAGGGAAACTATTGAAATGTTTTTCATAATTGCCTGGTGGAAAAATATACCATTCCTGAATTTTGTATAACCAAAGAAAGGAAACTGAAATAAGCTGAGTCATCACAAATGAACTGAAAAATAAAATATGAATCCTTTCCGCCAAAAGATGTATTGTCAAAAGAATGAAATCAAGAAATTTTGAGAAATTGGGGTTAGAAATACAAAGCAAGTGTAATTTGTCAGAATATCAAGAAATTTTCACCGAAATCCAAAAGTCAAAGTCCAGCAAGAGGCAACAAAGAATCAAACACTTTGTGGCAAGACTAAACATTGTTATATACTTATATTTCAAGTGGTTCAATGTATTATGGTAACCATGGTAAGCTTCTTCTTCTCCTCATATACCAACATATGATATGTATGATAAGGCAACTTTGAGTACTACAACATAGAAACTAATTCAAGAACAAGAGAAGATTAAATTCTTCATGTGATGACATATAAGTTCATTTAAGAATTGAAATCTACCACACATGTAGAATGAGCCTCGAGGGACTGGAAATCCCAGGATTTCTCAGAAAATAATAAGTAGGGACAAAAATTTAGAGTTAGATTTTTTTATTATGTCAAGTAATAATTAAATTATGTTTGTCTTAAGCATGGATTTGAAATATTCATGAAGACTATAAGATTTGGATGGTGGGATTTAAAAGAGGGAATCTTGAGGGTATTTGACTCAAGAGCCTATGATATTCCCATAAGAAACAGTTGCTAGGAATTGAATGAGGGTGGAATTTGCATGATTCTAATTTTTGGTAAAAGGTTCTGCGAGGAAGTTCTTAGACTAAAATTGCAGAATTTGTAGAAAAACACCATGAAATTATGATACTAAGTGGAGCTTTAGTTATCTATATTAAGATTCAACCCTGTATATTATGTGCAAATAGTCGTTTGTCCAAGTACATGATCAAATTTCAAATCTTAACATTTGCATGGCATAAGAATCATCACACTTCTTTAAACATTTTATCAAACAGTTGTTGTGACCCACTCACACGAATCCTAATTTCACCAGATTCCATACGACTAAGAAAAAAAGAAATGCACCAATGCCCTTCCAATCCTTTAGAATATACATCAGCAGATGAAAGTGAACATCTTGGACAAGAGAAACGAACCCCTCTCCCGAATTCCAAGTTATCCACCCATCACCAGCTAAATGCTGTGCTGCTGACAAGCATGTCTTGCAGGCATTCACACAAACACCACGCAAGCAAGCAAGCAACATAGTGCCCATCAAACTCAAACGGCATCAAAAGACTCAAGTTGGTCGGAATAAGAATCGCATGGTTATTACCTTCTGATCGAGCAAAGAACAGCATTTGAGCATCACTTTAGCTGGCAACAACAGAAGCATTTGATGTGAATGAATCGAGTCGGAGTTACCCTGCAACAAAAGCATTTCATCGACCGAGAGTTGCTAATTTCTTGGCAAAGAGTAGTTTGTGTCGAATGATTCCTCGCATGCAAATCCTCTCGAGCTCACACATCTCCTCAAATGTCCCAATCTATTGAACCCAAACGCTAATTTCAAATCCGATTAAACAATATTTAATCCGACTAAAATATATCAAATAAATCCAAATATCATCACATGTCATCAGTACCTGCTAAAGTATCTTGTCAATTTAAATTTGTTTAGCTTATTTATAACACTCATTAATCCATATTATTCTTGCGAGTTAGAGAATTAATAGTAAATGCATCAAAACTACGAAATCAAATGCTAAGATGCTATTTTGTATCTTACTAAACTCTTTTTTCTATATTCTTGTGACATTCTTATAGTTTTATATGATTATACTAAAAAGAAATAAGTCCATTTACGGGATTTATGTAAATATGAAAAAGCTTTGCAAGAATGAATCTATTTTCGACCTCTATTAACTGAAATAAATATGATTAACAAAAGAAATATAGGATGAGGGGTTAATTATCTTTTGTATGTGGACCCAATTAGTATCACGATCTTTATACCTAAGAGATTCTCATAATTTTAAAATAAAATAAATAGTTTATTTATCTTAACGTCATTAACTGTATTAATGAAAAACATAGTACATGGCATGATGTATTAGATCAATATGAAAGTGATAGATAAAGAGATAATTTTAATATTTTTTTTGTTTCAAATGATTTTATGGTAAAAAATAATTTTAATAAATAATCTCATTTATTTTAACATCATTGATCAAAAACATAACACATGACATTATACATTGGATCGATGTAAAAGTAATGAACAAAGAGATAATTTTAATATTTTTTTTATTTTTAATAATTTTATCGATAAAAAATTTTTTTAGCATCCTATGTAATAAAAAAGATATTGAAATTATTTATTTATCTATCATTTTTAGATTCAATGACCTAACGTATTGTATTTTTTATTAATGTAACTGAATGTTATGATAAATAAGATTATTTATTTTATTTTTAAAATTATAAAATTTTTAATATAAATATTTAAAGTATAGAGATCGTGACTAATAGGATCAACTGCAGACGGCCCGAACTCGAGTCTGCTCACGTCCTCTTCAAATTTCTCTGCATCCGTCTATATATTGAAGAAAGAGGAAGATTAGGTGGCCGGTGATAAGGCTATTCGTTGTGGGAAGCGGCCTTATCGAAACCCCTCTCTCTCCCCCACTTATCTCCTACTTCGCCGCTCTTCCTTCGGTCGTCGCGCACCCTAAGGCGGCTTCGGAGCAAACAAAGCCGTCAACGATGGCCGCCACCAGTACCACCACAGCCACCATCGGCGTGTCTTCCCTGTACCGGACTCCGTCCTTGGATCTCTCCGCCCGGAGGGTCTTCCCCTGCCTGTCCGATAAACCCCATTCCTGCAGCGGCCTCCTCAAGGTCTCCGCCGCGGACGCCACCAAGCGCTTCGGTTCCTTGTGCCTCGGCGCCGACCGCAGGGGCTCGAGGGCTCGTTGCCCTATGTTTGTTACCTCCGCAGTTGCCTCTCCCAACTCGGTCCTTAGCGAGGAGGCGTTCCAGGGCTTCCGTGGCCTCTCGAAATCGTCTCTCGAGGAAGGCGAAGAGGAGGGTTACGACGCCGACACGTACGAGTCCGAGGAGGAGGAAGAGGGGCCTTTCTCTGCCACTGCCGGTCACGATGAGAACGAGGTGGCCATTGCTAGCCTGGATTTGCCGCAGCAGCTCGTCAGTTCCCTCGAGAAGCGAGGGATTACTCACCTTTTCCCTATTCAGGTGTGGCCAAAATCGTCGCTTTCTTTCTTCTTCTTGCCCTTCCTCTTGTTCTTCATTCTTTTTCTCTCTCGCCAATCGAGCTGCTTTCATAGCGGACCGGTACATTATTGTAATACACATTGTTTTCTTTTCCTAGAGGGCCGTGTTGCTTCCTGCTCTTGAAGGCCGAGACCTTATTGCACGTGCAAAGACCGGTACCGGAAAGACACTGGCGTTCGGAATTCCCATAATTAAACGACTTAGCGAGGCCGACTTGGGGCGGAAGACGTCAAGGTTCTAATTTTTCTCCTAAAAATCTCATTATCATTGTTACCGTGTAACCTTGTATGGCTTGCTCTCTGTATTCAGTATGCATTTTCACTTCTTTATTCAGGCAATCAGGACATCTTCCTCGGGTTCTGGTTCTTGCACCTACCAGGGAGTTGGCGAAGCAAGTCGAGAAGGAAATTGATGAGTCAGCACCTTATCTTAGCACCGTATGTGTTTATGGAGGAGTTTCTTACAACGTTCAGAAGAGTGCACTTTCTCGTGGTGTTGATGTGGTCGTGGGAACTCCAGGTCGAATAATCGACCTCATTAATGACAATAGCCTTCGGCTTGGAGAGGTCGAGTATTTGGTTCTTGATGAAGCTGATCGGATGCTGGCTGTTGGGTTTGAAGAAGATGTAGAATTGATATTGGAAAAGCTGCCATCAAAGCGTCAAAGTATGCTATTTTCTGCAACTATGCCTGATTGGGTGAAGAAGTTGGCTAGGAGACACCTAAATGATCCTCTCATAGTTGACTTGGTATGTCCATGTTGGTTTTTGATTTTTATTACCCTACTGGGTTCCTTCATGATTGAAAATGATTTCTGCTGATTTGCTTCATACCTCAAATGCACAAAGAAAAGGTAATACAATTGTGTCTGGTACAGGCATAACACCCAGAGAACAATCACAGTAGACACATTTGAGATTATTTATCGTTAGTTATTAATTGTTTTATAAGTTCCATGACATGGATCAAACATAACATGAAGCTGATGACAGTTACCATTATATTTGTTTGTTAATTATTAATCATAATGAGATTTTTCTCAGTCTGCAATTAATTTAGATACGAGCAACTGCATGGCTTCTGCAAAGAGATTGACGTTAGTGGCTCTCTCCTATTGTTCTTCAGGAACATCATTTTAGATTACTTGTGCAGTCTCAACTATATAATTCTAAAATCCATCTTGCAATTGGTTATGAACTCAGTCATCTACTTGACAATAAGTGGAACTGAGAATTTTAGTTTCACTAGCATGCCTTGTGGTTTCATTTTGGCTGCTTGATTCAATACACACTAGGCTCTTACCAATTTAAACCATGCATCATATGTGCCATATTTCATGGAACTGTACTTCCAATACCTGAGATTCTTGGGTGAACTTGTTCTTATAACATGATGGAGGCTTAATTGCAAATATATGCTGATAAACAAACAATTGGCTATTGATGATTCTAAAGATGTTTTAAGGTTTTAAATTATTGTAAAATAATCTTCGTATCAATTGATATATAATGTGTCTATTCTATTCTTATACGATTAACGATAGCTGTAATATTCTGCTATAGTTATAACGTAATTGTAAAATATGAAGTTGCAGACATTTTTATGTATGTTTTAGACTTGTGAAACTGTGCAGTATGCAATTATGCATCAATTTACAAGTTACTTTTATTATTTTTTCGCAATGATTATGCCTCATGTAAATAATCTTTTTTAAGTTTGTTTTTTATCTAGGTTGGTGACCAAGATGAGAAGCTAGCAGAAGGAATTAAACTTTATGCCGTACCAACAACTTCAACTTCAAAGCGTACAATCCTTAGTGACCTAATCACGGTATGGATGACATTTACTTTGAAGAGTGATCATTTTCTCAATTATGTTTTGCCCTTCTTCTTGCTTCGCAAGCTCAACTTTTGTAGACAACATAAGTTGCCTATCCTGAGACTCAAGTGACTAACACAATACATCTTTTGGGGACATCTAAAGGGATGGAGTCATTGCATAAATTTTTATTGATTTGTCTGGATAAGGTCTCTTTTGCATGCCAATTCATTTATAAAGGCTATTATGATTTGAATATAGATCTCCTTCAATGAATGCAATACGGAAATTTTGTGGAATGATTTTCCAAACCAATAACCTACGAACTACTGATCCATGCTGGTGTGTGGATGCACGTGCGATTTCAGATGGTCCCCATTTAATCTGCTTCTGTTTGTTTTTAAATAACTTGTTTATAAATTGGTCCTCTTCTTGCAGCTATTATGGTTCTTTTTTTGACATTTATCTGCTGTTAAGAGGCACATCTTTCTTGTAACAGAACCATTCAGTTGTGTTTTTGGCTGAGTATATCATACATGCACTTTTTATTTGCAGGTATATGCTAAGGGTGGGAAGACCATTGTTTTCACTCAGACAAAGCGGGATGCCGATGAAGTATCTATGGCCTTAACTAACAGTATAGCATCTGAGGCACTACATGGGGATATATCTCAACATCAGCGAGAAAGAACCTTGAATGGTTTTCGTCAAGGGAAATTTACTGTTCTTGTTGCAACTGATGTTGCCGCTCGTGGACTTGATATACCTAATGTTGATCTGGTACTTTTATTATGATTGCTTATGTGTGTACATTAGTTTTCAGTATTAATTAATATTTTATGGTATTGTTGCTGTTTCCTACTTTCAAATGCAAGTTCCTTGTGAGTAGTCATTTTTGTATAATTTAAAATCGGTTAATACTCTTCAGCAAGTTGTCAGATGCTTTACATATTTGCTCCTTTTTTTTTCAGATTATTCATTATGAACTGCCAAATGATCCAGAGACTTTTGTTCATCGTTCTGGTCGTACTGGACGTGCCGGAAAAGAGGGCACTGCCATCTTGATGTTCACTAGTAGCCAGAGGAGAACAGTTAAATCTCTTGAACGTGATGTAGGATGCAGGTTTGAGTTTACAAGCCCCCCAGCGATGCAAGAGGTTCTGGAGTCATCAGCAGAGCAAGTAGTTGCTACTTTGCAGGGTGTTCACTCTGAGTCGATACAGTATTTCCTCCCAGCTGCTCAAAGATTGATTGATGAACTAGGAACACAAGCCCTGGCTGCGGCATTGGCACATTTAAGTGGATTTTCTCAACCTCCTTCGTCTCATTCTCTTATCAGTCATGAGCAGGTGAAAAAATGTGGAGGCTTATTTAATATATTTGGATCACAATTACTGCATATTACAATAGAATATTCGAGAATATATGATTATTAGTGCTAGTTTAAGAAAGAGAGACTAGACCTGATCTGTTTGCATCGAATGTGATTTGCCTTGTTCCTGCTTAACTTATATGTACTAAATGACTAGACAATGATGGGTAAATTTTTACTCTATGTGGGCAAACCAGCTGGCATATTTGCATAAGTTCCTCAGTCTTTAGAAACCTGTCCTCTTCTTTAGTTTCTGTTAGCATGCTTTTCAGATATATTTTGAACTTGACTTTGTGCCTTGTGTAGGGATGGGTCACATTACAATTAACACGTGAATCAGGACACTCGAGAGGGTTCTTTTCTGCAAGATCTGTTACTGGGTTTCTTTCTGATGTTTTTCCTGCTGCTGCTGATGAAGTGGGCAAAATATATATGATTGCAGATGAAAGGGTTTGTATTCTTCAAGAGCATTTATGTAGTTATTTTTCTTCCACATACATTTCTTATAGTTCTTTGTCTCTTGTATCTTTAATTTAAGATTGTTCATGTAGCAGTTGAATTTTCTTGGCCAAGGTTCACTGTATCACATCAATTGTGATATATCTATCTTCTGCATATGTTTTACTCAATTGTGCTTTTTATTTACTCTACATATCATTTTCATGTAGTTTCTTGGTCATTTATTGTATGTTTCTGGTTAATAAGTCAATTTTCCTGCTTCATGACCGGTTGGCTGATTATCTCTCTGTTCTGTGAGTGTTGATGAAGGTTAAGGGACTGAAATGCAAGCTTGAACTTTATTTCAGTAACATTTTTTAAGCTTATGAGGAAATTCAAAATGTTCATATGGACGGTTAGTTTCTTGCTTTTATACTTCATTGAAGGAATTGATGACAATAGAACAATGTAAAAGGCTCAGGGCTAGTTTTGTTTGATAAAGTAAATGGTTCCATGTCAGATTGAATGGAAATACATGTGTAGTAGCTAACATGTGAGGAAATGGTCTTTCAAGTTTTGCATGTATATAACAAAATTTCAAAGCTATTTTGTATCTCTTTTTGAACTCAAGTTTCATAATGCCTTGAATGTACATAATAGGCATTGAGATTGTTTGAGAATGTATATTGTAAAAGTTAGCAGTTTACAAATATTTCAAACACTTTGTGAATACAACATCTATGTAATCTTCAATATTGCTGATTTTTTCAGGTTCAAGGTGCAGTTTTTGATCTACCTGATGACATTGCCAAAGAGCTACTGAATAAGCAATTGCCTCCAGGAAATTCTATATCAAAGATCACCAAGGTGGTCCTCTAGCACTATTCCTTTCTGATTGCTTTTCTACATTTTGAAATTCAACTTTTAGAATGGTGGCTGCTCCATGTTTGGTGGAACTATATTAAAATCTGTATTTACCTGCATACTATATTTTGGGAATATAATATTTATGGAATAACTAAGAAGCCGATAAAAGTTGGATTGTGGATTACCTTTTGGTTCATATGAAGATTATATCTGCTTGTTGTCTTGTGGTATTCCCAGCTTCCTCTGTGCAGCTGTGCTGCTACTGGGAAGTCTGGTTGCTGTATTCATAGACATTGAAGAAGGTAATAAGTTCTATTTGGTTGGTCTCAACCAGTGAAATTTGGTGCTTGCATTATTGCCATTTTTAAGATTTTTTTTTTAATACTTGATATATGCCATTTGCTCTTGGCTTGACATGTTTGATTGTAGTCATTGATTGAATCAACACATTTTTATTTAAATGATTATATAACACTTTTTGCATGCTTTTGCTGTTCTACTATTTTAGCTTCCTACACTGCAAGATGATGGTCCTCCTGTTGACAATTATGGCCGGTTTTCAAACCGGGACTGGGGTTCCAGAGGTGGTGGTTCTGGGGAACGAAGTCAGAGGGTTTCCAGAAATTGGGGTGGCAGGAACTCTGACAGTGGTGATGGCTTTCGACGTGGTGGCCAGGTCTACAGAACTGATAATAGCTGGTCTAAGTCACCCAGAGGGAGTGAGGATGACTGGCTAATCGGCGGCAGGAGATCCCACCATTCATCCTCGCAGGGTAGCCGGGAAAGGTATCATTGATCCACTATGATAGCCAGAAGATCTTTAGTAATAGATTATTGTTGATGCACTATAGATAATTGCAAAAACTTTCAAGGAGATGCTTTTTTGACAATGGTTATCCAAAATATGGTCTGAGCTAGGATATGCAATTTTCTTCACATGCAAATCCATGATTGTTCCTAACTGTTGGCTTCAGAATTCAATTTTTATATAAGGTATTTTTGAATTTAACATTTGTATGCCAAAATTTGTGACTACTGATGGCTAACTTGCTCATACAAATGTTGGTGTAACCCCTTGTTATACATGGGCTTTCAGTGCCATAACAAAATGGGTAAATTTCTCTTTTTGAAGGATTTCTGCTGTTAATATGTTTATCTTTAGCTTCCTCCACGAGAACCATGTACTCTTGATATAACAGATTCTCATCAGTTCCCTTGATAAACCTGTGTCATTTATAACTGGTTTTTACAAGCCAAATACATGAAAAGTTAATGGAGCTATATTTCTTCATTCTTAGTTAATTATTTCCTAATTTTCTCCTAAGTTTTTGTGTCTTTATGCTTTCATGAACCAAAGCCACTGAAGCAACCAATTGTAAACTACCTAATTTTCACTTTAGAAATATCAACCTGGTAGATGATTTGTATCAGCGAACTGCCAGTATAGTGTTTGCTTAGTACACTTGGCCTACTGGTCTGAAACATGTAAATCTCGTAAAATGATTTATCATTCATGAATTTCTTCTGCTGCTTAGATACTGTGAAAGCAGCATTCCAGTGTTTGTTCTCCAAAATAAGGAATCTATATCTATCTGTTTGATAGTCATGGTTATTTGTGAAATATTCTGAGATTGCACTTCTATGATGTCAACAGAGGCTTCGGAGGTGCATGCTTTAATTGTGGTAGATCTGGTCATCGCGCTTCGGAATGTCCTAACAAATAGTCAGTTTGATGGAAATTCCTGCTCGAATTTGTAGACATGCTCCAGCTCCAGATGTGATTTCATGAAGAACTAATGATGAGACTGCTTGGAAGTGGATCAGACCATGCAAATGTGTGAGCATGATGAGCCCTGATCGGGAGGAGTTTTCACTGAGTTTCTTACATGAAGTTATTTAAAAGCATATCATTAGGTTGCTTTGAGAGTTTAGATTAGTTTCAAAGTCACTCGAGAGAATTGTGATGGTGGTGGTGGTGGAGTGCCTGCACAATGTGTGCTGGTTGCTGTATTCAATGCTTTTTGACTCATTATGTTTGTTGTATTTACTTGGTATGTTTTCCCTTGAAGGTTGACAAGATTAAGATTTTGATACGAGTGTGGTAATTTGTGGAGATACACTGGATTTTGTCTGAGTTCATCATGAAATAATGCAACCACAGATTTGAAGATTCTTTGGTCACGCTTTTTTTAATTTTCTGCTGCTTCATTAAAACTAAAGGTTTTGATAGAGTTTTTCTAATATGAAATTTGTTTTATTTGTAAACATGCAATTGTAGCTTGAATGTTAGTATTATGATGTTGAAATTCTAATAGTTTTATATTCATAAATTTAGATGATTTCTCTATGGATTTCTACCCTCTTCAATGATCTAATTTTTAGAATATCTTCTGTATTGGAGGTTTCGACTTATGCACGAGGATTTTAGTGTATTAGAGAATTTATAATAGGTTTGATAATCTCATTTTAATTATTTTTTATGATAATTTTATGTTTATAAATATAAATTGTGTGTAATCATCATACAAAACCAAAATTATCGATAAATAGATCCTTTAGATAGTCATTTTGGGGATATTCTGGTTCGTGCGTAGTGTAAGCTAGCACAACATCTTGGAACTACTTGGGTGGCACATGGTTAGATGGGTTTAGGGTAGTGTCTAAAGTTGGTTCTTCGTTTTGTTCCATAGTAATATAATTTAGACACTTGTGGAGATTTTTTATGGTGGATCACCTTGGACCTTTTGTCGTGTGATCGTTTAGAGCTTGCAAAGTCTATATTTGTAATTTATATTTTCAAGTGTTTGCTAAAACGATTACTTGTGGATCCTAAGTTAAACACTTTCTTTAACCTGTCTTTTCTTTTGTAAGTTTTCAAGGCACCATAAGAGGTTTCAGGGATGTTAACCCTTTATGAATGGACATGCAAGGGTACCCTACGACTAGGCAAAACCAACTAAATATATAAAAGATGATACTAGAGCTGGACAAGCACACTCAGAAACACTTAGTATGTAAACGTGGGGACCTAACGGGCAATGTCGAGGGCAGCACGCATGACCATTTAGTGGAAACAGACATAGAGACCTAGGGAAAGGAGTCACTTGGAAGAGCGAGCATCCGAGATTGGCATTCAAAGGAATGATCAACCTTTCATGCGAGAGGTGCCATGAGGACAAGTGAGCTGGGAAGAACATATGGTGTATAAAGGTTAGAATGGTTGAATTCAAACTACGACTCAACGTTGGCAACCAAACTTGATAGTGCTCAATGTGAGTGGGGCGTTTGGTAAAGGATGAGACCGTACAAAGTGGGATGGGTTGCTCAATGATCGAAAGAGTTATGTAACGCTAATAGAGAAGAGGTGAATTGCTAACTCAAATAATTTAGTACTTATGCAAAGGCTTGTATACGGATTATGGATTGATCATGACCATCCCAAGGCGATCAACACTTGATACTATAGAGCATTGAAACTTTCTCTTTGGAATAAGAAGGATGTAGGAGGCTGAAGTGTGCAGTGAGTTCAATATATTACCAGGACTTGAGGGGTGCAATAGGGCTTGTATTGACAAAGAGTAGCAATCTAGTAAGTGCATTTGCGGGGGCAAAATAATGCATAATTTATTCAACAAGACGGAGTAGTCCAAGGGGATGATGATCACTACCATCAACTCAATGCAAACCGAGGAGCGAAACAAGGGTGGAACTTAGTGAAGTGCTCAAGTCGCATGAAGAGAGTTAGCAAAGAAGACATAACCTAGAACGAAGGCACGAAGGTTTTATTGGACAAATGTTAAGGATATCAACTCTTGTAAAAACAAGATCGAGATCATGTCATTTTATGGGTTCCTCATTTTGATGGAGTGGACTCAACTTGCATGACGTTAAAGTTAAAGGAAGCTTTGAGGCACATGCACTTTATCTTGACACATTTGACAAAGGAATTAATGTGACTCAACTTTTGGATGTGAAGTTGGGGTTAGAAGGCCTTGACACGATATAAGAGGATACGAAGGTAGATACTCTTGAAGAATATGCCATAGTGCTGTCATTCAAGTTGTTGCGAATGAAGTGATGTGTAGTAGAGATTATGTTAAGGGCAGAGGCCTATGATCCAAACAATAGTACACCATCTTCAGTGAAGTCAGTGGACTTCAGGATTTGCTAGGCGACAAAGTGTCATAGAGCTATGCTTCATCCAAGGGTGACCCAAGAGCAAGTGGACGAAGGTCGATTGTCAAAGGAGCGAATACAATCAGAGGTGGTGGAGGCCTTATAATGTGTTGGCAGATGCTACAGATAGAGAAATTACAATCTGATTTCATCCCACAAAGATCATAATGCAATAGAGATATCACCAGAAGGCGACATGGTGTAGTAGATTATAGAAGAACAGTTTGAAACAATGCAACAAACATGGGAGAAGTCCCCCGAGAGACTTGATCATACAAAGGTATGATTAGGAGCTACTAGGAGCTTCATTTCAGTGAACAACATGATGACAAGAAAGGCTATGAATTCAAGAAGTGAATGCTATGATACTGCAGAGGTGGGTCTTCTGTGCATGTATTAAATTTTATATTAGATGAAAGCCTTAGTCATCAACATATGGGGGCTGTGTACCACCAAGGGGCAATTTTGAATGCAAGTATTAGGGAGTCCCCATGGGAGGGGGAGGCTTGATCATACAGAGGTATGATCGGAGCAGCTACAGAGTTGGGATGCTCCATAGCTTCTATTCACTTAAGGGAGCCTGACAAGTCAAAGGCAAAGTAGAGTAAGTGAATGTTACTATCACAAAAGCAAAGAAAACAAAATCGACGTTAGCCTTGCAAAATGATGGCGGAGGCCATATATGGGAGTTACAATCTATCTTTCCATCGATCAAAAGGAACTGCCCAGAGAACACAAAGGTGTTAAAGCAAGTGGTTGAAAGGGGTGGAGAAGCGATGTCATGTCCAAATGGACTCAACTATCCAAAACTTGCCGGAAAATATGCTAGTCGGCATCTCGCAACGGAAAACAACACCAGATTTCTCAAAGTTAAGAATTAAGTTGTTGTGCGACAATTGATACGTGAGAAAATTACAAAACCAAAAAACTACATGTATCATGTTAGAACTATTACCTGGAGAGATCGCATAACCTTGAAATTTCTAAATCCGATGGAATATATGAAAAAGCACTTGCGTATTCCTCTTTAGCGGTGATCCACATGACGGATGCGGCGATTAGGCTTCTCATATCATTGCGGGATCTCCCACTCCATGCACACCACAAGGCTACCGGAGCCAAGGAGGAGAGGAGGCTCAGGAGAATAGGAGAGACAATGCTTTAGCCTATGAATCATGAAGTTCCTCTTATTTATAGAGGTACAAGCAGCTTAACCCTTAATGAATCCTATCCTCTATAAATCTCTATTCAATTATCCAATTGGATCTCTATCCAACTATCTAGTTGGATCTCATCCACTTATCTAATTGGATCTTATTCAATTATCCAATTGTATCTTATCTATAGGATCCAAACCTGCGCGAATATCTCATACCCGCACCTCTACTCGTCGCAATATCCATAATAATTCACTTGACTCATCGACTATGTACTAGTCAAAGGTGTCATGCAAGCCAATCACGTGAATGATGGTACGTGTGACTTGACTCGCAGTCTTTATGCTTATTATATTTTGATATTTTATCACTTTATATTGATTGTTGCATATACATATATATACATATATATACATACATATACATATATGTATACATGTATATGTATATATATATATACATGTATATGTATATACATGTATATATATATAT